CTGTGGAACGACAAGTAGGCCTGGGAAATATAATTTTGTTTAATTAGAAGTTTTGTTTTTGCATAATGTATTTTCAGTAAAAAAAACACATTACATGTATTAAAGTTTACTACACTAGTAGCTGTCTTTTGTAATGTGCCCAACAACTGGCTGCTATTAGATTTTAATTTAATATCCACTTGCTTAAAGAAGTAATTATAGATAGATATTAGATATATTTGTTAAGGTTATTAATCCCTTTCCACATTTTAAGGGATGTTGGTTTTTTCAAGTTGTTGTTTGGTTACTTTATTCATGTACTTGTTCTACCTCCATTTCTTTTAAGGAATAAATAGTTGGTATTTGTTCTTCTACCTGGCCAATAAACCATCACTATCGGTCAACGTGGTTGACAATCAGCATTTGGTATAGACTTAAAAAAACAATCCAAAACTGCCGGCAGGTGTTTTATTTGCCAAACGTGAGCTATAGGAAGATTGAAGACAGGTGGGCCGGCAGCAGGTGCGTTGACTAATATCTTACTTGTGTTTGTTGTGTAGATAGTTCATACTGCTGTACACACTGTTTTTTCCCTCTGCCTTAGGATTGCAGCATTTCTTTTAGCAAAAAGTACGTGTTTAATTTAAATTGGAAAAAAGTTCTTCTTTCAGCCTAAAGAATGTCACGCTTCAGAGGTGACGCATATCTCCCTAAATAATAATATAACATTACCATCTCTGGCTGCATTTTATACATTTTCCCAGTTGTAGGGCTTTTACTGCTTTTAGTGTTACTGCAGCAGGTTGCTTGAAAATGGGAGGAAAAGCTGGTGATGCAAACAGGAAATCCCCCCCTCCCCCCCCCCCCGCCACTACCTCCCCACAGGCCAGGACATCTCATTTCGGAGGACCTAGCCCACATTGACCACGAAGGCTGGGTCCTTCGAAGGATGCAGCCGCTAAAATGAGACACCGCTATTGAGTCAGGGGTGGAATTAACCTTTAGGAGAGAAGCCAATGAGTCCATGGTGTCTGAGGAAAACACTCACAGAGCCTGACTCAGCTCATTAATTGTTTAAACCAGCTAACACATTCGACACTCTACTTGACACAACTGCAAGCCCTTCAATCCCGGAGACAAACCAGCAGACACAGGACCTGGTATTTCGCTACAAGAGGGTCGACCAGTTTCATGAGAGCCACTGAGGAGAGAACGTTAAACAGGCTGCATGGTATTTAGCCGCTGCACTCTCTATTTGCTCTGTTTGCTATCACTTTGGCGGATTTTTGACGTGGTGCCACGGCTACTCTGTGACTTGTTGTCTTGGGTCTAAAAGCAACGAGGAGTCTTAAAACAACATAAGACAATATACCAGACAAAACAGCTAACGCAGAAGATTTAGGTCTGTCTCTGTCTTCATACGAACTCTGGCACGGTTTTCACTTCTTTTCCTATTAGAATAGCTTTGTCCAGTTGACTTTGGTGGAAGTTCAGGGATGAAGGTGAAGAGGCTGAGAAGAGAAAAGTACTGTTGGACTCCAAAAAGAGTTCACTTTCCATTACATGAGTGATTGGCCGAAGAACAACAAAAGGGCATAAAGTGATGGAAGGGTGTGCAGGGCTTTGTGTTAAAGTGTTTCATCAATATCTCATTCCAACAAAAAGTGTCGTCAGGACTTAGCTGGACTTAAATAACCATTAAATACTCATTACATTTTTTTTGTGCACGGCTTAAAGACAGGTGATGACTGTAGCCATTATGAGAGGCTTATAATAAATTACTCAAATTGCTTGCTTGACAAAACGATTAGTCTATGTCTAGTGTAGCCACATTATGGCAGCTGTAGATTGATGCTGGACCACTGGCATGCTGGACTTGCCATGGACCAACACTTCACTAGTAGGAAAACATCACACATTACATAGTTTTATAAATCAATTTCATTCTCAAATGCACAAAAATATATAAATTGAGGATTATCTGAGGAGAAAAAAGACCTAACTCTTGCTCTAAGCTAGGAGTTAGTTCCAGTAAAGCATTCATTGTAGTGACTGACATGATACAATTACTTGCACCATCAGCCACGCAAGATGCAAAGATTTGTCAGCATTCAGAGTGAATCTATCTATTCTTGACATGTGGTGACACACCATATTTGATACACCACATATCAGGAATGTTAAACCGGCCTCTTTTTAATAAAGACCTTCACCAACGCTTGTTCTGACTTCTTTAAGCTGCTGCTCAATACGGAGAGGGTCAAGAGAATGCCTACACGCTCCAGGCAACAGTTGATACAAATCATGGATTTGTGGAGACAAGATAAAAGCTGGAAGACGGCACGCTCATTTATGGACACGCTGATTTCCCATTGCTGTCGTAGGAAGCTTCATGTCAATGAGAAAATACCCTGCTCTCTTTCCTCTCTTCATATCCTGCCGCCCCGATCGAGGAGATATAAATCTCTTCAATCTGATTTACTGCTTTTGCATTTAGCTCATATAGGCTGAAAAAGCGAAGGAGCCTATTGAAATAAAAGCGTTGTCTTCCCAATAAAGATCTACACTTGAAGCGAGTTAAGCTGGATGTGTTGTGTCTGGCAGCGGCTCGGATAATTAAACATGCAGCGCTTCATTTGGGCAACTGGGTCGCCATCCCTACCTAACTATCTGTTTCTCTAAAGTGAAAACATCATAGAATAAAACACAGAACTCCCCGGACCCACCCGCTCCCCAAAATAACCAGGCTAGGACCAAGGAAATTGGCTTATTTAGACATATTAGACATGGTACGTTGACCCAACAGTCATGTAAGATTCCACCCTTGACGAAGCAACTGAGGATAAAATGCAGAGCCCCGACAGTTAAAGCGACACACTTCCTCCTCTGGGAACCGTCTATCGTCTTAGCTCAGTTCTTCTGAGGAGCCGAGGAGGTTTAAATGGGTTTGTTTGTCTAACTTTTCCTACCTAGGCCCGACGGACAAGTGATTATGTGGTTTGCTTTACAATTCCCTGGCATGAACCAATATAAAAGGCAAATGGTCAGAAGAGATGGAATCTTATTACGTGTCATTTGTGTGGTTTCTGTGTGTCAGAAGAAAAAAAAGAGAGAGATGAAACACATTTAGAAGGATAATTGCTTTGGTCAATACGGGCTGGTTGCCTGTTTCACACTCCACTGTGGGGAGGATGGGCCCTGGGCCGTTTCATCACGGAGGGATAAATAAGAGGATGGCAGAGCCAGAGGAGACTCCTATCCCAGGTAAATGAGTGCTTTATGAGGAAGATTATCGCAAATCCCTCACACACAGAGCATGGGCGCATGTGGGGCAGGGGAGGCTTTTCGGATGCAGGCTTGGCTACCTCCATCTCACACATTCCCCCGGCAATCGATCAAAGCCCCACATCATAGCTGTGCACACAGAGAGGAAGCAGTAGGTGAGACAGCATGACAGTCGGAATTGAGAGCTGTTGCATTGAAGAATTGGCGGCCTCATCTGAAACAGAGCCACCCAAACATCATTCTCTCGGGATACAAATATGCACATAAGCATGCGTGCATGCATCACGTGCACACAGACACTTTTCTCCTCACAGCCTCCTACAGGGCCGCCCCCGGAGTTTAAACTGCAGGCAAGTGGATTACCTGTGAAATACTATTCTGATCTATAAACAAGCTCTGGATTCTATCTTTAGTCAGAGCTGCTCATTAAACTCTATTAACCTGCAATGCTAATATCTGCAGGGAGAACCGAGTGAGACAAACACACACCTGCTCCATTTAGTGGGATGCATTTTTCATTCCCACAATGAACATACAGCTCCTCCCCAAGCAGCAGGCAGCCCCCTTACACTCACATAGTGGTACACCCCCCCCCCCCACACACACACACACACGCTCTTCAGCAAAGACTGCAGATGGCAAGAGAGCTGAGAAATGGGTGCAGGTGATGGAAACGCCAGCAGAAGCCAAAGAATGTCTACGGAAAGTCCTTTTACACTAAATCTGCACTGGCCGATAACGATTATCATTTGTAGTAGAAATCACATTTACACATATAAAAATGGAACTTGTAATGTTCATTTTATATATCTGCAAACCATTTTTTCCAATTCCGAAGCAGAATATTTCCAATTTAACTTTCACATGTTGAACATATCAACATTATTTAGTATCTTTGGCATCATTAGGGCTCGTGAAGGAAATTTGCCTTTGGTGACAATGATTTGCGTAGCAGAACGATATGTGGTATATTGCTGCTTTTTGAAATACAAATATGTTATACTTCTGGAGCATTTTATCATCTCTCGCCAAAGAAGTCAGAGGTCAAAGTTGACCAAGTTTATTAGCATCACAGATCTACAATGAACATTTCCAATAGTAATGGATCATAGTTCATGTGAGGAATTTACATTTTCTTCTACTGAGAAATGATTGATAGATATGTTTAATTAAATGACATTATGTATGTATTGGTTTAGAATTATTACTAGTCAAAAAGTAATTTTTTATACCTACAACTGCTATTAATGCTACTGATTAAATGTAAAAATGACGTGCGGCCGTACGGCTGCAGCTGCAAACCGTAGTAAGACAACCTGCCAGGGGAGCGCACAACTCATTAATCGAGCCCCATGTCTCATCCGTATGCCAAAAACCATCTGTATTATTCAGATTCAGACACAGACTACTGAGAGCGCAGAACAAATATACAAACCAAGAACAACTCAAATGTGTTCATGTTTAATCTGAAATACGGCCGAATGACATTCCAATATGTCTGACAAAACATCTCCCATATTCAACCTGCCCCGAGAGATCATCGACTGTGCGACTATACACCACCGAGCAGCCCCGACAGTGGCAGCATTAATATGCATTGCATTACCAGTGCAACAGAAACAATTCCAGCATGTAATCCAAGCCATTTGAGTGAATATATTTTGACCATACGGGAACACGGAATGAAGTGGAGCAAACACAAGTAAAGCGTGTCGGTGAGTACGTCTCATACATACCATTGGGGCTCTCCTCGTTAATGGTCACTATGGTTGCAGGGGGCCCTGGTCGGGACAGCTTACATTCTGCACGTGAATAAAGAGAAAAGCTAATTAACGTTAAATAAGCTCAACCGCTCAGTGCTTGGTTTAATTATTTTACCATGCAATCTCAACAGCTTATTGTGCTTCATGTCGACTTATGAAAATGACTGCATGTTGTAGAAAGCACAGGTTTTAAAGGTCTGAGACAAAGCTTGGAGTTAATGATTGATGTCTATGGAATTATGCTAATGCTACTTGATCCTACAGACTCTCAATATTTAAGCCTTGATAGCTTAATATTGCTCTTTGACATAACCTCATACAACAACTCTGACTAGAAAAAAGCCTAAGCCAAATAAAAAAACATGTGACCTGTAAACATCAATGATTTTTTAATTTAGAGTACCATTTGTCGTATGTATTACAGTAGTATAGTATATATAGTATATAAAAGCAGTAGTGGTTAGTAGGCTCTTTTACAGCCTTTCTACCAAACTAATTCTCTCCCCACCACAGAGTGATGTTGTGACCCACTGGGGCCAAAGGTTGGGAACCGCTGGATCGAAGTACCTTAATTCATCTAAAATGTAGATAACCTCAACAAGCATATAGTAAGCAGCAGGACATGCTGCTTACTATATGCACTGATGCATCAATATTGCAATTGTAATAATATTTTAAGTACCTTTTTCTGCTACTACTTCCAAATACATACAACAGAAAATTAAATAAATATTATATGAATAAACCGCACATATAACAATATTGAAAAAACACTGACAAAGTAAACACTGACATTGTAAATATTTCATTGGTCTGAATAAATTAACCTCAAATGTTGTCTCAGTGTCTCCTGTCGTGACTACTTCAGCACCAACAGGAGTGGACCGCACGATACGGGCACCAGACGAAACATGGTGGTCAAAGCATGTGGGAACATCATGAGCATTGGCTCACTGCCTGTGAGGCTCAACGGCCTCACAGGCAGAGGTCACAGCCGCTAGAAGCTACGGGACCGTGGGACACAGGTAATTGCAGCTTGACAGACAGCACCAGATGGGGCAGCGGGAGAGGTGGAGAGGAGCAGACAGGAGGAAGCGAGGTGTCTAGTCTAGACGGAAAAAAAAAGGCGCTCTGCAGCTCATGTGAGGAAAGTGCAGGATTAAATGCCCTTCTACAAGTGGTAGACAGAGGCAAAGGGGGAAAGGCGAAGGCGAGTGTTGGGCTGTAATGAAACAAATGCAAACAGACCAGGGATAGTAGCCCTCTTACCCTCGTACTGCCAGCCTGAAGGGGTCGGGGGTTAGTGGAGCCAGAGAGAAGCAGAGCAGAAGCATGGAAGAAAAGAAAAGTACGGAACAGTTGGTTGAGGAAAAGCTCTTATGTTGGAAAAAGAGAAAACAAGATCATTATTAAAAAAAGACCAGATATTAGAAAAACAGAGAGAGAAAAGGACACAGTTTCAGGGAAGCGTCTGCCTGAGAAATGGTTTTCGTGAGTGAATCACACACAGCTTTCACAAATACGGCCGCCAAAAGTCAAAATCTAAAATGCTCTGTCTGTGTAAATTAACTTGTACCATGTGTTCGGAAAAGGGGGAAAGAAAACTGCATGAAAGAGCACAGGCTTTTTTTCTTTTTCTCTTTTCCCGGAAGAGATTAACTCTAAAGCATCTTGCTCGCAGGTGGTGTCCACTTTCATTACTCGTAATCAGAGATGGAGAGAAAGACGGACACATGGTCAATGCACCATACCGACACTCGGCGCTCTAAGGTTTCACACCCACCTTCTGTTGCCTGACTTGACATGTGCAATAGGCACCTGTTGCCAGGTGCATAACAGTGGATAGTTTTCTTATCAAATATGCATGCCTGCGAGCCTTTACTTGTGTGGTGGTTTGAAAGTGCATTTTAATCAGAGATCGACCTTAGGATCTGATGTTGCTGCGTTTATTTCAACATGGCAGCTTCTAAAGTGTGAATATACGCACAATAATGAGCAATTGAAGGGATATGAAAACCTGCAGCAGGGGACATTTCATCTTCTCAGAGTCATGCTTTTCTTTTATGAGGAGTTAGAAGGAGCTCGCAGACATTCAGACCTTCATCTGCCTCCGTATGAGATCGCCTCCATGAAATGATTTTCTTAGTGCAAGGAAATAAGTAGATAAGCGCGAACAACCTTCTCTAATCTAAACTCATAAATAACTATAAACACTTACAAGCGTATTTACAAGGTGTATTCACTGTTCACTGTTAGAGCATCCCCGTTCCATAGCAATTAATAAACCTGTAACCAACCCGCTGAAGAAATAGCAGGATGAGGGTTTCCTTTAATAGCGTAAAAATGAACGGAGCAAGTGGGTCACACCTGGCAATTGGAGACATAAAATAACAAACACAACATCAAAATAAGTATGCAAATCTAGTCTGAGAGAATATACTCTTTGTAAAGTAGAAAGAGTGTGGTGTGTGTGTGTGTGTGTGTGTGTGTGTAAGCGTGTGGAGTAAAAGTTACTTGCACTCATTTTCAGACGTTTTTTTTAAGGGATCACAGTTTGTTTTGTTAGTTTTGCATATGTGTGTTGTGGCACGAATATGCGCGTGTTTAGCTTGAAGTAAGTGGAATTTGTGGCAGCGGGCGAGAAAGATGTGAAGAAGTCGGCTTTGAAGACAAAAGGCAAAACCAAACCAGAGAAAAAGAACAGTGCTTCGTGTCGCAGCGCTAACGGGTCTATCACGGCACAAACACGTTAACATGATGAACTGAGGCGTGCACATGCATGATGCAAGCATCAAGGTCTGCTCACTGCAGAGTTGGAACAATCCCAACATCTTGCTAAATCTACATCTATTAAGCAGTGGGGGATATTTTGGAACGACATCCTGCATCAAGCTTTCCTCCCATTAGGAAGCCTTCCAGAATAATACCTTCCCAAGGCTCTCCGGGGAGGTACAAGGGTTCACAAAAAAATAAAAGGTCCAACCAAATCCTCTGCAACCCACTTCTGCAGCACTCAGGATAATAATGTTGGACGAAACCTGCAGATCCCATAAATATAACATAACATACATGATTGGATAACTACTTGGCTTAATCCCCTTATCTAGAAGACCATGACCAACTCCTTAGAAGCTACATCCTTCAAAAGAAAGGAGGAAGAATAGCGGTGGAGCGGCACAGGAGAGCACAGCTTTTCATAAGAATACGGAGTATGTATGATGAATATAGAGAAATATTGAAAGAAAGACATAAAAGTGTAACAAACAGATTGGGGGTGTATCTTTAACCAAATCCACACAAAATAGATTGATAAAAATCTATTATCCTTATCCATTTTATTTTGGAGGTAAATTGTTATGGTTGGCGGTGACTATCAATGTGTAAGAATGTGCAGTTTAGCCTGTTGTTTAAGTTAACCGGAGAAAAGAAAGAAAAGTATATGAACTCTCTTAAACTATGAGAAAAATGGCTATTTTCGGCCATTATGGAATATAACTTTATAATCCTAAACTTTAGGATTGCATTGGGTTTTCAGAACATTCACAAGCCAAAGGCTTGTAGTAAATTCCAAATAATTAAGCCCAGATAGATAAGTAGACAGCACATCGTTTGATGTTCATACGTATGTTTTTAATTTCAAAAGGAACATAACTTCAAAGCCAATAATTTGATTGAACTTTTCTTATTTTGAATCCCACACATCAGGAGCATTGCAGAATAACTCTGGTGTGCTGTTATAGTGCATAAAGTGATCTACAAATTCAACAACTAAGGGTTGCAGTCTATTACTTTTCCTCAACAAAGAAAGCCTCAAGGTTACATTTTGTACTTCTATTTCTAGCTTGCACGGCTCCCTCCAAGTTCTCAGCTAGAGCTCAAAAGGCTTTGGCTCAATAAAGCTCATGAAAACGTGTTTTTAATGGCCTGATCCCTTCGTTCCAAATGAAACGAGCATTGGGAAGAGTCAGAGGAGAGTCGGATTTGAAGAGACGGGAATTATAAAAAATGCAGCGAACAGCTTTCAGTCACTCATCAGGGCACTGTGTACTCGAGAGGCCTAATCCGGACAATCAAAATCTTCTCATTTTGACCTAGGAATGATTTTACCTAAAGAGATCGTCTCCCTAATCAACCGAACAATGTTGACCTGAAGCTGTGAAGCTTCAATTACAAAATGATTACAAATTTTCTTTACAGAACTATGACATTTATCTCAATTTCTTTTAACATGCTCCCTTTTTAAATAAGCACTTTAACACTGTGGGACTGTAAAATATATCAAATATTGGATGGAAATAGCGTCGTGGCGCAGGGGGTAGAGTGGGTGTGCTGGGAACTGCAAGCTTGGTGGTTCGAGTCCCGGCTGCCCCATGTCTCAAGTCAAAGTGTCCCTGAGGAAGACACCTAACCCCTAATTGCTCCCTGGGCAAAATGTAAAAGCCATGGGTTTAAAGTGTAATGTAAGTCGCTTTGGATAAAAGCGTCTGCTACATCACCTGTAATGTAAAAATACTCAAAATGTTGAGCTGTGAGCTGTACGCAGTGATAGACTATGATATCGTCCCTGAGAAAATCAAAGCTTTCACATGCATCTCAAACGTAAACATAATCCTTTCATCATACTTATAACCGCTTGATAATGCAGACAACCGCCAACAAAATTCAAGTGCTTACAAGGCCGCTTCTCGACTGCTGTATTACAAAAGCAACAAGGCGGTGGCGAGATGAATTCTGCTCACAGACTTTTACTTTCTAAAGGCATTTTTTCCTTAGACTACATTCAATAGCTTGTGCTTTCCTGTGGCTTCATCTGCAAAAGCTTCTTCCAAGGAACCGATAAATCAACCTGCTGGTCCCTGGGAGTGGAGATCTAAAAAATAAACAAACTTTAAAGGACATACAATCTAACAAGCAATGTGGTCTAGGAGGCTGCACTGTCTCAATCCATCTGGCACACCTTCACAATAAACCTACAAAGGATTTGAGGCATCTCATTTAGATAGGAGGTACATATAATTTCACATCTACAAACACCAAAACACGCTGGCTAGATGTGGGCAGCCACTAATATTGTCTATATTTGTCAATGAAGGAGATTGAGAGAAAGAAGATGGAGGTGGAGAGGTATTCCCGAGAAATTGCATAATTTACATACAGGAAAGTAGGCGCTAGCTTCGCAGACTAGAGACAGACGGCAAACTGCCAGCTCAATTCCTCTTCTCGTAAAGCGTCTCATACTAAATGTCCATATGCAACCATAAACGCTCCTGCCCTATCACATAAATATCATGCCCCATGTGATCATAAGGAAATGTCTAGCAGACTATATTTTTCATGTTTTTCTTTCTTTTTTCTTTTTAGCTTTTAACACCAGTGGTCCAACCGAGGGAGGAATGTACAACTTTTACATTCTGACTTTGGGTATCGGCCAATAGTGAGTTGCAATACAAACAAATAATAATTTGTTTACTCAAAAAGCTGTATGTCTCACGGAATAGACGTAACTGGGATCACCATTGTTTGTGTACGAAAACATGACTTTGTAATAACTAAATGAATCAAATAAATACTGTTATTTATTATGTAATTAGTCACTTCTACACTGACAACTTTTATATCTGATTTATGGCGTATTCCTTTTTGGAGCAGCAGCAACTATACCTGATTCAGGTATCTTGAGTCAGTACACGGCCCAACCGGCATTGGTGCATCTCTACCGCCGACCGCGGGTTTGACAAGCATCTACTTTAAAAACGTCAAGGTTGAAGGTTAGAGCTGTCACCGGCAGCGGTAGACAGCCCCGGTCAGGGATGAGTCCAAATGGAGCAAACTGGGACGCCGTTTTAATTTCCCAGTTGGATTGATAGTTCATTTTGCATGGATCCATGTGCAGGGGGCCATTGTGGGACAGCTCCAGGAGCCCCTGGCAAAGGAAAGGGGGACATGTCGCCCGGTAATGACAGCTCACGGGCCGACAGCGGGTCAAAACGGGGGACCTAGGGCCAGTTGTCCACTGGGAGTGGCTGTCAAAGCTGTGCGTTACAGTTCATATGGTAAAAGGTCTCATCTTGTTCACAGTATACCACAGTAGTGCGATTTAATACCCATTAAATGCTTATATGAGGGATTTTGGACGGATCATATTGTGGATCAGTTTCTGTTTAAAACTGTTTCTGTATTACATATTTAATATATATGTATCTAAGTGACATTCTTATAGATAGAAATACTCAACAAAAAAAATTGAAAGCCTCAAAGTTATTGATTGAAAACAATGATTATAGCAGGTAAAATCTTTTTAAACCACGAGTCAATGCAAAACAACAACCAAAAGCTAAGCCGGTCACCACTTTCTCCTTAGAAGAAAAAGCAGCTGATCCACACACACAGTGCCGTCTTCCTGTAGCAGGTCTATGTGTAGCACAAAAATTGCAATCACTGCCCGGGTCCCTCGCCCTTTCTTGCTCTCAAAATCTCTCCCCCTTTCCTAACAAATCACAAAAAGGGTGCATCCCTCTGCGGGACTTCCCGCTGTTAATGTGTGTGTGTGTGTGTGTGTGTGTGTGTGTGTGTGTGTGTGTGTACTTCTATATAGGGTGTGAAGAAATGAAAGAAAAAATCCAGTGAAGAAAGCACAAGTGTTTAAGGAGCTGAGAATGCCAGAGATACAGAGCTGTGAATGAATTGCGGCATCATTTAAATCATTAGTGGTAGATAATAGAGGAGAGGGAGAAGGGGATTACTCTACTGATGTGTAAATCCCCCGACGTGGCTCCCTCTCCTTCTCTCATCCAAACTTCCTCGTCACTGCTGCCTCTGTTTGTCTCTGTGAGGTTAACCACACGTGCAAGAGGGCAAAGTTTGAAATCACACTCTCGGTGAACAGTAAAGCACCCACATGCTGATGTGCTGATCCCCAGGTACACACTTCAGGCAGTCTTACCATGAGTGACCCCTGTCCCTCTCCCCCCCTGTTACCCAGGGCCTGATTACAGCCTGCTGGCGGGCGGATTAAATCCCCTTGTCACTCCGCTGCTGCACATCTGGCCCCTAATCAAACAATCCCAAAAATAGACAAACAATTGTGGGTCAGAACGGATGTGCAGATGGGAAGAGAGGGAAAATGCCCAAGAGATGGAAATAGTGTCAGAAGGGAAGGTAGGCTGATGTCGCATGGCAGAAGCGTCCGCAGCTATTAACTAATCCTCATCTCTAAACACACTCACCAATACAAGCGAGCGCGTTAGTGTGCACACGCCTTTGTCCTACATCTGGATTAAGCGATGCAGGGATTTAGAGATATGGTTGGTGTGCGTCTGTCACCTCTGCTTTAAATTGAAGTAAGTTTGTCCTTACTGTCTGTTCAACTGCTGCTACCGACACCCACGCGAGGGTCGCTGGACACACATGTCGCACAACGCATTTGCACAGTCAAAGGAGAATCTCTGTGGAGAGAGACTAGAGTCAGATGATGCAAGGCAAGGAAGATGGAAGCCACATGAAAGCATGGCCTGCCGAGGGGATGTGAATGAAGAATGTATGCAACACAGGTGTTCAGAAGAGGTATTAAGAGAAAGTGTAATGAGGAAACGTGGGAAGTGATATTTACTCTTTATTCAGATTTAATCCCTGCTAATTAAATTTGCAATAGTCCGGGATAACCAGTGAAAATGGATGTGTTTATCCCTCCTCAGCTCAGTGGCATCTGAATTCATTGTGGCTGCTGTTTTCATTTGATGAACCGACACGGAAGAAGTTGACAGAGCCAAATACCAAGAGCACCTTGAGGTGGGCAGAGCGGTGAGATTTATGGAACGGAAGGTGCAGGAAGCGTCGCGGTGAGGGGATCATCCCTGCTCTAAACAAGTTCGTCGCTGGGTGACACTGACCCCCAAAGCGGCTCAAGAGTACATGTGGGTGGGGGGGGGGGGGGGCGGCCGACAGGAGGACTATGTCGTACCCTCTGCTCCCTCATCACAGCTATGACGCACTGTGGTCGTTCGTTGGCAGACGCTGAAGCAAGCGGAGCTCATTTGCATGCACCACTAATACATAGCTACCCGCTTTTCCTAATTATTCTGTCTGCAACCTGTCAAATTACAGTCTGGGGCCCCATCGGCAATCAGAATAAAACTAACCCTTTACGGTCACAGGACAATATCAGACAGTTTTTGATTACATATCAGTACATGAACCATTTGATGGCTAAAGATGATAATTAAAGAGAATTCCTTCCTGCGTTTGCATAGTTTAAGCTTTTCTGCATTTTTGCAGAAAAGAGAAAACAAGAAATCGGAGGTTCAAACGTTACATTTTCTACATACACAATAAATGTTAAGTCGGTCTGTCTTGAGCCACGTGACACACATGGTGAGTCTTATTAAAACAGTTTCACTGGGAGATGAGAATCCCCGGTCCGCAGGGGTCACAACCCTGCGTATTGAACCATACTGACCTTCTCTCTAACTATTGCGCAGTGGACAAATGTTCCTTCAGAACAACGTTGCCAGAAATCACAAACCAGGCAGCAATTATATTTTGCCTCGAAAAAAGAAACGTGTTCTTAAAAGACTAATCTATTTGAATATGAACGCACTCACAAGTTGTTCATCAAATTACCCACAGAGCCATAGTCCACAGGGCGGTTATTGAGTTCTGCTACGCTTGGGTTAAAGGGCCTCCTGACTCCACACAACAACTAATGTAACAATTAATGTGGTCAGAGCCGGGGGGGGGGGGGGGGATAGTTCATTAAAGAAAACCACAATGCAGTCATTCAGCAACAAAGGATCAGTCAGTCCCGTTTCTACTGAAATCCTTTCAAACATTTGAAGCAAATCTTGAATCGAAAGACGGTAAACAGAGATTAGTATCTTCTGAAAAAAGTATTTACATTAGTGACCTTTTGAAGGGAGGCTAGGAAGCAGTCAAGGGATGATAAAAAGAAGGAAACAGGGTTTGGATCTCAAAATTGACCTGAATTAAGCACAATATTGCCACAAAGGAGAATTAAGCAAGTCTCTGTGCATGTGGAGCTTCCTCTCAGCACCGTCTTTAAAGACCTGCCAATCTCATGCAGCTGAAATTCCCTTTTAACTGGCATCTGCTACAAAGTCAGTGAGATGAGACAAAAAGTGCTCAGATTCCCTCAGTAATGTGGGAACTTATTCAAGAAAGTACAAGGAGAATCCTCTCAGCATTATCAGTGAACTGCGTAGGAAGTAAGCTGGATTTAGGCCCTCTGTCTAACTAATGTCTTTTGAAAAACATTGCTTGAATTTGAAAAGGAATTATAGTAGGATTATTGTGAGAGCAAGAGTTTTTGCACCGAGGCGTCCCTGTATCACGTCTTTAAAAACGCACCTGAGAGAAACTTCATTGTGGCGCTTCTCAATGAAATCAAACTCTCATGAAAGCTCAGCAACAACCATCTACTGACTTTTAGAACAGGCACATATTTAGACTGACATGACAAACAACCTCCTCAACACCCATAAACACAAACAAGTCACACTATTAGTAACATCGATACAGCCGAGTGGGTGGAAGGACAGTACAACACACGCTCCATTATCGTAGCTATGACTTTGCGTTCACATATAGAAATAATTAGCTGATTGAAATTAATTTAACTTCCGGTCCATTTAGTTTAGTATTTTTAAATTGTGCAAGTGTTTCATCCCCTCAGTGTGTTGCATTAGTCAGTAAAAATGCATCAGATATGCCGTTGTACACAGTGAAAACGGAAAAATGACGTTCACATTACAATCGTGGCCTCTCGGCAGCGCGGCGATAGAGAAAGGGGAGGCCTGAGGTTGTCGGCCTCGGTGTTGGCTGCTCATACCTTCTGTGTCCTGGCCCCAGCTGTGGGTCAGTAAGGAGAGGATTGCCATTCCGGTCCCCAGCCATCTGACGAGCCACCACCCCCGTCGCATCTTCTGTCAAGCCTTATTGCCTGTCCACCTGGACGAAAAAACAAAAACAAGGGAGAGGATGTTTTTTTAGCTTCCGTGACCCAGCAAGCCCTTGAATCTTCACGCACAAACAGTAACCAACACACACATCTACCTACAACATCACGCTAAACATTTTCAAAGAACATTAATCTGGCAATCCAATTTCGTTTCCAGAAAATAAAATAATCCGCTGGATTATATGGATCCATCAAAATGTATGCAATTATTTCTGGATTACTCAAAAATACTCATACAGATTTAATCTGAATAACCCACCTGTTTCCAATCACCTGCAACCCCAGTATTTTTAAACCATGCGTCTCCCTTGCCTGGTTGTTGGCTTGTCTGTTATTCTTGCTGTAGCTTGTGACCTTGACTACAGTATCTGTATGTTTTCTTGACCTTGTGTCCGCTCCCTTACAGGCAGATCAAATTATATTTTTTTTATACCTGGGTTTACGCTTGAGTCCTCTTGTTACGAACGTGACAACTTCAGACGTGCAGTCACGCGACAATGTTATAATAAATAATACATTTAATTTGTATAGTGCTTTTCCAAACGCTGTTAAGCCACTTTACAGAAGACACATTTTAAAATATCCTAAAATCGAAACAATAAATAAATAAAACTAAGCAGATAGCAAACACAAACAGAATACAGTCATACATAAATGTACTGCTACAATTACAGATGACTAGCAAACCATTAAATCAGCTAATAGATGCATCTGCTGGCAATCCTCACCGGAACGAATATAGACTGAAATAACCTCCAGGAGGTAAAAGGTCTGTAGTATTGGGCTGTATAAATAAAATGTAAGTGGAATATGACTAAATACAAACCTGCAGTCACAAGAAACAAACACTTGAAAAGATTCTCTGAAACTTCTGACAATTGGAATCTAACTATAGTCTCCATTGTCACCAACTATTTAAAAGGTACAGAGGCGACATTTTAAACATGCAAGAAGATTTACAATTCTGGTGAAATTGTATGGCATACCACCAAACGTGTATCCAAAATATCTCAAGCCTCCAGAACCCAAGAAAAAGAGCTAACTGGATCAGCTGGTGCCTAAATGAAAATCAAGGACGATCTAGTGCGTATCATTTATATGTTGAGACTAGTTGTCAAGCGCACACACAAATCCACGGCACACAGCCTCCGCTCGGAGCTCTGGGAAAGCAAGGTGTCAGGAGGAGGAATAGCGGGGGTGTGTCTGTCTGTCTGTCTGTCTGTCTGTCTGTCTGTCTGTCTGTCTGAGCCATTTGATGTCACACCTTCCTCTCAAGGCTTATTCTCGGAGCAGGCGATAAGCTGTGAAATCAGCTTTAGTAGCATATGCTAAAGGGACGGGAGGGAATCCCAAGAATCAACACTATCATATCAAAGCATGTTGAACAACAAATGTACAATCTCGGCCTCTCACCGTCGGACCTCAGCGATTCCACTCATTCACTTTCCCCTTACTGTGCATTAAAAAGCATCCACCTAAACAGATCTGACCCTGCTGCAGCCGGCGCTCCCAAACAACGGACGTCTCGCATGGACAGCAGGGAACAGCTGCGTTCTCTTCTCTTAAAGCACAACAAGAGCCATTTCACACTGGTTCCCCATTTTCTCACAGCCTTCTCATCTCTCCGGCTCCCAGTCGCGTTCCTTTTTGAAGCAGATTTGATTCCCCACAATTCGTACATCTATCTTTCTTAACGGGCCTGAGTAAGATTGCTTTGATCCTTTTCACATGAGAAAAACGCAGACCTGCGCACACAGCCAGCCCGAAGAGGGGAAAGTGGTTTTGTTCCACAGCTTCCTCCAGATCTCCTCTCGGTTGACATGGGAACGCTGTGTCTCATTTGCATAGGACAGCAAGGATGTTTTTTCCAACTTAATGGACAGCGGGAAGTGGAGAGATTGTTGACTGGGTGCTGAACGAGAAAAGGCTCCAACGATCCGCCTCCAACGATGTCCTTTCATTGCGGCCCGTCAGTCGCATCATGAACTGAATGTCGGCAACCCAAAGCTTTCAACACGGTCTCAGTGCAACAGGTCAATCCCAACTCTGCTCTACGTCAATGAACAACACTTTATCAAAACATTCCAATGCTGTCGAATAACGACGCTGGCCTATATTGCGGATGAAGCAATAACAGTGGCAGATTACTCAAAAAGTTATGATGGTGTTCTTTATCCCGAGGTTGAAGGGGGTTTGCGCTCCATCAAAGAAAAAAAAGCAGGTTGTCCGTTTCTTTCTTTCGCTGGCTGTGTTCCTTTGATCGCCTCTCCTCCAGCGTAGAGTTGTTTATCCCACCTCTTCCTGTTCAGGAGGTCTGGTGCTGACTGACTGTCAGAGGTGTCTCCATAACAGATATCACCACTTTTAAATCTTCAAGGCCAAGCATGTCGCAAACAGCAAAAAACATAATATTATTTAAAGTGTATTGACCATGGCAACCGTAAATACTTAATGCCACAGTCACAATGAACAGCAGACAGATGCACTTGTTTGGTGTGGTGAAAATTAACTGCTAATTTGTAGTCGTCATTAAATGTTGAAATTAATTATACAATCACGTAAATACCCCAATCAGAAGATAATTTGTTCTCTAGACAGTTTTTTTCTTGTTATTATAACTCAAGTGTTTTGAGCAGTCAGTAAAAGCCAAGCACTTAGCGACAAAAGTACTTGAAATGCTCTCTGGGTTTACGTTTTAGAAATGTGCAGTTGTATGAACAGAACATACACGTATTTGAATTCAAGTAGTCACCTCGACGCTTATCCAGAGCCGGACGCTGGATAAGCCAGCTGAGCTTCACTGTTTTGACCGGTGCATGAAGCTCGCCCTTATGGGATTTCAGTTTTGGCTTCCAAAGTCAGCCTGTACCAGACTCCCATGTGGATACTTCCACATGGCGCCAGATGGCACCTAAGATGGCTCCCACAGTGCGTCGGTGCTCTTTGTTTTTTGTTGTTTTTGTTGTTAATTATGGTTGTGATCCCCGGAGCTCTTTCTCCAGAAATGATCTCATGTGCATCCAGGGAACAACTTAGTGTAGAAGCCAAGGATCACAGGACTTAATGACTACAGGCCCGTCCCTCTGACCTCTGTATTAAGTCTTTTTAATGGCGAGTCCGGTCCCACCTGAAAACCCTCACCGACCCTGAACATAAGCTCCATCACCAAGAAGGCTCAGCAGAGGTTGTTCTTCCTGAGGCAGCTGAAGAAATTCAACCTGCCAAAGACGATGGTGGTGCACTTCTACACGGCCATCATCAAATCCATCCTCTGCTCCTCCATCACCGTCTGGTACGCTGCAGCCACAGCCAAGGACAAGGGCAGGCTGCAGCGGGTCATCCGCTCTGCAGAGAGGGTGATCGGCTGCAATCTGCCTCCAGGACTTGTTCGCTTCCAGGACTCTGAAGCGAGCTAAAGAGGTTGTAACCGACCCCTCTCACCCTGGACAAAAACTGTTTGTGCCCCTTTCATCTGGCAGGAGGCTGAGGTCCATCAGGACTAAGACCTCCCGCCACACAAACAGTTTCTTCCCATCGGCAGTCATGTCAAATTCCTTGCATTCCTAACATATTTTGGCAATAAATGTTCCTGATTCCTGATACTCCCACAGTGGTTTTGATGGTAGAATGTAATCTTTCATTTTTGGGCTGCCAAGCCACCTCCACCTCCATCACCGCTGAGGATTTGCAGCCGGCTAGGAAAGAATGGTGAAATGCTCCGTAACAACCTCTGCATATTTTTCGTTACAGTTAATGCAGAGATTTCTGTCATAATAAAGAAACACAGATTCCAATACCACACTCTAAATAGGCCGTTGCTTACAGTCGTGCATGGTCACTCCCTAAAGACACAGTCCGAATGAGAAGCAAAACAAGAGAGGTCAGCCACTCATAACTGAAATGTTGTTGGTTCAGGGGCAGCAGAGGTGCTCCACCATGTGTCATTGCACTGGAGGGTGCCATCTACACTGCAAACCAGCAGGACTATAGCTGGATTTCCCACTTCCCTGCTTACAGCCGTGCTACTGTAGTCTCTCTGAGTTAACAAAGCGAATGGTTTTGACCCACCGTGCTGAACAAAAAAAGTAAGGGATTGTTTGCCTTTAAAATATCATTTTTCGATTAATAGAGCTTTAGAATCCATATATATATACACACAATAATGTGCTGAATATATAGCATATGATAAATAATGTGTTAAATCTGACATCTTAATGGCAAATCTTTGATAGATAGACAGAATTGAAGATTTATTTTTCAAAATACACAATGAAATACTTTGAAACATCATTTTTCAGAGTTCATAAATGTTAATTAAAAATCCACCATAGTCATGGCATAATAAGCGTATTGGGTGTGAAAGGAAGTTGAATTCATTGGGATCTATAACTGAGGTGAACATAAAGGAACAAAGCGACCCATTTATTAACCGAAGACAAAAGTAATTTCTCAAGAGATTTGACTACCTCATCAATCTTATACCAGCATCCTCCCTTTAGTGCAGGTTATGAACATCGCACACTCATTAATGTAGAAAAAGTACAACATTGCATCTTGAGTGGCTCCTCCTCATCAACCATTTACAATGCAGAGGCATGTCATCCGATTGATCAAGTGACCAAATGAAAAACAAAGCACTGTAAATTATGCAAAGATTGAAGTCATAAAACCCTGGAGGTGCCAGCTGCACACAGGCTCATAAATTAGTTATCAGTGGACACTGTATTACCCATAATGCCAGCGTACTCAAGCAAGACAAGGACGACTTGTTTCTTTACCATGTTTACAACTTCATCACATCCCAATTAGAATCATAACAGCAGCGGACTGTCCTATAATATTTAAATTTCTAACAAACCACAGCTTTGTCTTTTTGCAGGAACAGGGAACAATTTAAAATAAGCGGTGGATTGGGATTTATATTGCAAATACACATACATTTAAAAAGGCTTCTCAACTAACCAAACAAGCAGACAGAAAAAGTAATTGG